CCCGCTTGGATCCGCCCCGCGCTCAGCTACCCCAGCCGTGGTCGGACTCTCGGGAGTCCAACCATGGCTGGGATAGCTGGGTGCGGGGCAGCTCCAGGAATCCGGATCCCTCCCACCCTGCCGCCGCCACTTGGATCCGCGCCGGTCTCCCCCGCCGCTCAGCTGGGGGAAAATGCCGGCGGTGGCCTTGGAAGGCAAAGCACTGGAAGCCTTCCGGAACCCCCACCCTGCCGCCGCCGCTTGAAGCCGCCCCGTGCCGCCTAACCCAGCCATGGTCGGACTCCCATCGCAAAGCGATTTTTCCCCATAGGCAACATAGCAATGTGATCGCAAAAGCGATGGCAAAAAAGCCATTGCTATGCGGATTCGTCGTTAAATGGGGCGCTCGTTATATGAGGCACCACTGTATATGACAATTTTAAAGTGAAGGCAACTTTTCATTAAAAAGACATGCAAATCCCTTAATTTGTAGTTAAGGGAAGCACCACCCAGAAGCTTCCCTGCAGTCAGAAATCAGACAACATGGATGCATCAGTCTCTCCAGAAACTCCTATGATGCAGAATGCTTGAACCCCACAAGGAATATTCTTGCCTCAAAAGTTCTTTGTGAGTGGATGGGGATTACCTTTCTGGGCCTCTGAGAGTCACCTTCTTTTCTCTGATTACTTCTTCGAAGTCAAGGTGAGGCCTTAGCAGCAAGGGCTATTATTTTAACTTGAAATTGTGAAGTTCTGTAAGCATTCACAATTCCTGGATGCAAACTGCAGCCTTATATCTGTGAAGATTCTCAGTCATCCAGGTGAGGTTATTTCGAAGTTGAGCCATGGCATCTGGACTTCTTTCTTGTTAGGTTGAAACGTTTCACTACTCATCCAAGTAGCTTCTTCGGTCTGAGCAGAGTTGGTAGGAGATCCCTGATGTATCCTATATGTTGGTTTCACTTCCCCCCTCGTCTGAATAGGCTTGTTAGAGGACAAAGGACTGGTGATGAGGGATAATCCTACTTCCGCAGTCCTGCACCCATTGTCATGGGTCATTAACAGTGGTCTTTCTGGTGGGTACGGTCCTAAACACAACAGGAGCAATATAGTATACGTGGTCCAATGCAAAGAGGAGTGTTCAGAGTTCTACATTGGAAAAACCAAGCAGCTACTAAACAGGAAAATGGCCCAGTACAGGAGGGGAAATGGCTCAGAACCACAATCAGCAGTGTTCCTTCATTTGAAGGTCAAAGGACATTCATTTGATAACCAAGATGTACTCATTTTGGACCGAGAAGATAGGTGGTTTGAGAGAAGGGTCAGGGAGGCCATACATGTTCATATAGAAAATCCCTCACTCAACAGAGGTGAAGGCCTTAGATACACTCTGTCTCCTATTTATCATGCTGCCCTTTCATCCGTCCCCAGAAAGATCAGGGCCACACCCACCAGAAGGACCACTGTTAATGACCCATGACAGTTGGTTGGAGGGGGACTGCAGAAGTGGGATTTTCATTCACCCCCATTCTTTTAATCATCTAATGAGCCTATTCAGACCAGGGGGAAGTGAAACCAATGTGGACAGTATATCAGGATCTCCTAACAACTCTCCTCAGACTGAAGAAGCTACTTGGATGATTAGCAAAACGTTTCAACCTAACAGTTGCCACGGCTCAACTTCCTGAAAACTACAGACTTATTACTGGGTTAGTGAGGAGATGATGTTTCTGAGCCAATCTAATGTAAACTAGAGACATTACCCATCCCCACTAAAAGTGTTTTAGTTTCTTGTGATTTGCCCTTGAACACATGGACTGGAATTCAGTGAGTTAGTTCAGGATTTGATGGTTTAGTTAGGAGCAACCAAATTGGACTAATAGAACCAGTTGGTTTCTAAAGCGGGAGCTTTCCAATTAGTCTGGTTCGGACTTCTTGCTGAATAAATGGGCCTGTTTGTAAGCTCCTGTGTTGCACATTGTGTCTTAAACATTTTCAATGTGTTTTGGAATAGCAGTGGATTAAAAATACTGTTTTAGTTTGGAACTAATAAAAGCAGTAAAGGTTACCTATTTATTCTTAAACTACATCATTTATTTTAATAGGAACAAAGGCTGGAAAGGTTTTTTAAACTGAGAAGACAAGTCAGAGAGTATAATGAAGAAATTGGACACATCCCAGATGGAACCTTGGAAAATGAAATGTTAGCTGTTGAAGAACATATCTGCCTTACAAAGAAAAATCTTGAAGATCTCCAGTTGCTTATTCATCAGGTTGGACTGCTGAATGCAAAAAAATAAAAAATGCTGTGCTCACAGAGATAAAATACCGTATTTTTCGCTCCATTTCATCAGGTTGGACTGCTGAATGCAAAAAGTAAAAAATGCTGTGCTCACAGAGATAACATAAGTGCTTGGGACTGGGTTGTTTAACCTGGATGCGAAGGGAAAGGGCTGGGTGCCTGGCTCCCCTTCTCCCACTCCTCTTCCTCCGAGGAGGAGGCAGCGGACACTCAGTCCAGGGCCTTTGTGGGGGAAAAGTGCGTCTTATGGTGCTAAAAATAGGGTAACTGCTTGGGGCTGGGTTGTTTAACCTGAATGCATAAATGATTGAAGCATTATAATTTTTCCATCCATTTTTGTTGTTGCTTTTGTGGCTGGATTCCATATTCTGAAACCTTATGTCAATTTAGACTGATTTGGAGTGCGAGAGATTGAGCTGTGATTCTGTGTCGTGTCATATTTGTGAAGTCTAATGGTTTGCAATGTCTCTTGAGTTAGAATAGTTCACTGACTCTAAAGATTCTCTCTTGTGAAAACAGCAGGGAAAAGAGATTGCTTTCCTCAAGCAATCTAAATTCTATACCACAAAGCCATTTAAGTTACATGAATTAAACATTCTTATATAGGCCAAGATCCTGTTACAGTCTGCTACTGGAACTGTTCCTGCCAGAGGACTTGCAGGAGGGCAATTTTTCGCCTACCCTGTTGACCTCTACATGCCTTCATAATCTCCATAGGTCTGGAGAATCTTCTGGAACAGATTTGAGGCAAAGAGAGGAGGTTCTGAGAAAGTCTGATTAAATTACTGCCATGTTGGGTTTCAGCCATTATAATTTTCTGTATGTTTATTCCACTTCAAAGGAGTGGGACCTGGAAACATTACCCAGCCCCACCCACTAGAAATTTTATTCAATCACTGACCTCTTTAAAAGTAGGAATCCCATATTACTGCCATACTCTGAGCTCCTGTGTAATTGAAGCATAGAAGGTACTTGTGATGGCATGCTGGATCTACCTGGTTTATACTATATCTTGAGAGACTATAGAATCCATGTGCCTTGTTGCTGCATTCTTTATGAGATTGTTCTGAATTAATTGGTGTGGATATGTCTTTGTAGTTGCAGGTAAAGAAAGAATCCTTGATTGACACCAAGGAATGTCTGGTGAAAGAGGTGCAGGTTCTGTGGGATAGACTTCAGTGGCCACAAGAGGAGCGGGATCAACTGACAAGAACAACAGGCAACTGTTCTATTTCTGAAGCCATAAAGATGGTAATAATAGTGAAATTCTGAAGCCATGCTTCATAATCATCTAAGTGTAACATTTCAAGTTGTTAATGAGAACATGCTAGTGTACTCTGCCACATAGCAAAGTCTTGGCTGGGCCCTTATTGGGCAATGAACTGTGCTTTTATAAATTTCAGTGTGTTTCAGCCTGCATTTACTGGGGAGCATTGATCTGTTGTGAATTTACTTGGTGCCACGTTAGCAGTTCTATGATTCTTACTCTATGAGGATAGAGAACATGAGGGTAAAGTATAAGTGAGGACTGGTAATGGGGCAACCTTTACTTAGAGCCTACTTTTCCTTTTAATGTACTTTGAGTGTTGGGTTTTTTTCCAAGCCTCATCTGAAACAGGGAACCAGCAGTGTTAATATTAGGTATGGAGAAAGAGAAAGTCAGCTTGTCATTTTAAAATGTTTATTCTGTTACAGGAATCGCTCTGGATGTCAAGCTGACATTCAAATTAATGAAGTCATAGGTTATCCTCCATCTACCCCCCTTTGTTGCTATAGTATAGTGCATGTAGCAGGAATTCATTAAAAGGAATGTTAAGTTGGTGTGTTATGCTCTACATAATGGAATTTATTTTGCTATAATGATAGCCAATATAACTACAGTGGGGTCTTGACTTAAGAACGGCTTGAGTTAAGAACATTTTGACTTAAGAACCACTCTCATAGGAAAATATTGACTTGACTTAAGTACTTAGATTTGAGTTAGGAACTGAAAAAAAAAACCACGTGGGAGGCAGGGAAAGTGCAAAATTTGAACTTTCAGTTAACTGTTGGCCAGTGAAAAGGGTGCCTGTCTGCTTCCTCACTCCTCCCAGCGTTTAGAGAGTGGATTGGGAGACAAGTCTTCAGACTGCCTGGTCCTGTACTGCCTGGACTGTATTTTCCCTGCCTTCCCTGAACCTTTCTTGACCTAAGGAAAAAAAAACAAAATATCCCCCTCTAGTGGTCGAAGGCAGAATAGCAGCTTCCCATTAGTTTCTATGGACGGAAAAGAGCAGATACGGATCAAATGGTTTTCAATGCATTCCTATGGGAAATGCAGATTTGGCCTGAGAACTTTTTGACTTGAGAACCGCCTTCCAATACGGATTAAGTTCTCAAGTGAAGACCCCACTGTAAGTGGAATAATAAATTGATTCACAAAGCGCTTTACTGGCTGCCTATTCATTTTAATACGAATTCAATGGTCTGAATTGCATTTCATGTCTGAAAGAATTTGACACTCAAGTACTTCCAGAAGTACCTTCACACTGAAGCACTTCCTATTTCAGCCTGCCCAGGATCAGGTATGCTGTGTATCAATAGATGAGAGAGCTTAGTTCCAGTATGCCAGCCATATCTCCTCCTGGAGATATGGCTGGTGCCCTCATTGCAATTCTTTCAATGTCAGGTCAAAACATTTTTTGTTTTCCAAGCATTTTAAGAGTCATTGGCTGTCAGATCTGTTGTTTTTGCTACTTCTTTAATTTAATTATAATTTTGCACTGCCTTGGTGCATATATGGATAAAGAGTGATTTGCTATGCTGGTAAATGTAATATCTTTTATTGTGTTTCATTTATTTGGCTTTCATTAGTGGGAAGAACAGTTGCAGAGCCTGAACGAACTGAAGAAAGAACAACTTAAAGAAATTACTTTGAAAGTGAGGCAAGAACTTGAGAGTTACTGGCAAAAATGCTGTTTTGGTGATGAACAAAGAGCTGCATTTCAGCCATTTTATAATGGTAATTATGCTCTCTTCCTCCCTGATTTATTTTTGATTGAAATAGTGTGCACTTGAGACTCCATTGATTAAAGCCAGTAAAACATTCCTGTAAAACAAGATGCAGCCTTTGTTGGACTGTCAAATTCTGGAAATTCCTGCAGGGTTGGGTTACAGTGGAGTTGTTTGATCACCCATTTGATCCTTTGCCATATGCCTTGCTTTTCTTATTCCAGACAATTTCTCAGAAGAGTTATTGAATCACCATGATGAGGAACTTGTGAAAATGAAAGATCTTTATGAAAAAAACAAACAGCTGTATGATAATGTTCACAAATGGGAAACTGTCTGGGATCAGTTCATTGAACTAGAGGTAGGCACTGTTGCATGCTTCTGGTATCTCCTTGCTGAAGGAAAAAAATCAACTTTTCTTTTTTGCTTTTTCCCCTGTGTGTAAAAGCAAACCTTGGCCAATAACTAATATATGTGCTTACTGGATTTTGGGTAACTTTGAATTTGAACCTGGTCCTGAAGGGGTGAGAGTAAATTGGTAGTATACTTCATAGCTATAAGCTTAGAGCTCCTAATAGCAAATCTCTAATCTGCTTCTGGTATTGGGCTCAGCAATAGGATATGACATCTTTACAGAGTGGTTATATGACATTTCTGTATGTGGTAAGTTTGCATATTGGGAAAAATGTATTTCTGAAGGAAAGGAACTTGTTTTCAGTGACATTATCTCTAGGGTGGTAGCTATGTTAGTTAACAGAGTGAAAACAAGAGAAACGATTTTGACACAACCAAGTTTTATTTGGCATAAGCTTTTATAGACTTATAAAAGTCTATAAGGTCTTCATTCACTATAAAGTCTAATGAAGCGGACTTCCTTAGGTTTACTGTAAGGAAAAAAGTAATCCAATATCATATTGGGAATATTGCTCTGGAGAGGACGCTCCTCAATACAGAGCACGTTACCATGGTTTCTCGAGACTGAAGGATGCCTATGCATGATTGGGAATATGCAGTACAGTATCTCTGCCTAAAATAATGATGTCTTGTACTCTTTTCCCATGGTCTCTCGAGACTGAAGGATGCATATACATGATTGGGAATATGCAGTATCTCTGCCTAAAATAATGCTGTCTTGTACTCTTTTTCCCCTTTTCACTATTATTGGCATATCATATTTAACTTTGGCCTTGATCCGAAGGACCAATTTGCAAAGAGCAGTAAACCAGAATTCCAGAGAATCCTGGCTTTTATTATTCATCAGTTGTATGCCTTTGTATACAGGCTGATTTCCCTCCGCTTGACTTTTCCTGCCAACATAAGGAGCTGAACTGTTCAAGAATTAAAAGTATAGCTTACTGTCTGCATTGAGGCTCCTGGCTTGTGCAAGTCAGAAGCAAAAGCCAGGATTTGTCCTCATATTACAATCCGGATCAGGATCCTTGGTATTGTCAAAGGACAGCCCTTTGGTTCCTGATCATGTTTGCTAAGCAAACAAATGAAATCTGATGAACCATCAGATTGATTAGAAAGGGCCACTGAGTCAACCGATGCAAAGCTATAATCTCTGTGCCATTTGAAACTAGAGCATGAGCATGTTTGCCAGTGGCAAACATTGGAAATCCAACTCTTCATTGTCATCCTCATCAGTTGAACTGCCACCTTGTGCTGATCCAAGTTCAGCTGCCACTCCTAATGGTCCACACTTTGGCCCTGCTGGACACAAACTCTTTCCCCCACCGGATTCCAGAACACACACCTTTCTCTCGGTCCCAGTGTGCCTCTCCTGACCACAAGGAAGCAATCCTGGCTTTGCAAAGATGAATGAGCTTTCCCCCATTCAGCTTGACACTGGATGTCAAATCTTCCCTGTCTCCTGTCATGTAGTCAGTTCCACTGTGTCAGCCAAGTCTAGCTTGTTTTACATTGCCTCTTGCAGAATTACCTACTGCAGGACTACTTTTTCTGCTTTTCCTTCATATCCTCATCATCCTCACTTCTCAAAATAACAGGCTGTGTGTGGACTCTTTACTTGAAGAAGCTCTCACACTTCTCCTTCAACAATGTTGAGGTTAGGGGTAGCAGACACTTGTCTGGTTCAAAATCCATGTATATCTCTTATACTCTCCAAATTGTAATCCCAAAGCATAAATAGTACATAAACATACACACAAGTATATTATACAGTGGACGCTTGATTTACAGAAGGCTCCACTTACAGGCTTTTTGAATTTCAGACTTCTCTGGCCGCAAAATTTAGGTTCGCCGGATAATCAACCTAGAGAATAGAAAAAAAACCAAAATGGAACAAAAACGGCCAGTTATGGATTAATCGGTTTTCAGTGCATTGTAGGTCAATGGAGCCTCGACCTATAGACTTTTCGACCTGCAGCCACCGTTCCAATATCGATTAATTCTGTAAGTCGAGGGTCCACTGTATGTACATGTATATGTATATATACAGCATTTTTATCTATCAAGGTTTTTTTCCATAATGCTGACAAGTCAAAGGTCCTTATGATCCCCTAATCTAGAGGGCACTAAAACATTAATCTCAGTGAGATTGCTCAGGGAAAGGTTGACCTCAATTCCAGCATTGTCTACTATGCAAGGGAGGTCTTCCATCACTGCATAATAATTAAGTAGCTGCCACCAGGAGGTCTGTCTGCAAGCACACATGGCTTCCACAGAGCCCTTCCAAAAGCTCCTCAGGTACCCAGACTTGTCAGATGCATCCTGAAAGCCCAAGCCAATCAGCAGTTGTAGTCCAAGCTGAGTGATTCCCTTCCAGAGCCAACACCAGTCCTAGAGGGTTGTTCAACCTTAGATGCACAATAATTCTAGCAAAATATTACAGTAGCCAGTCTCTGTGCACTGAATTTATTAGGTGTATAATTTGCTTTGTGTCTGTGTTCAGAAAAAATCAACAGATCCAAGCAGACTTCTAAACAGAGGGGGAAACTTGCTCAAAGATGAAAGAGAAAGAGCAAAGATTCAGAAGCAGTTATTGAAGGCAAGTAGCATGGCAATTACTGTCTAGCTTTTTCTTTTTAGTGGGGTGAATCTCCCTATATTTAAAAGAAGAAGAAGGAACTTGAACTCTTGTATTTCTCACTGTGATATAGTCTCATCAGCTTTGGAAATGTCTTGTATACATGCAAGCATTTTTACAGAGAGCTCAGAATGGGCAACACATCAGTGTAAAACACAAGTGATTTTAACGTTTCAGAACATTTGATGGTTCTCTAGAGAGTTATACCTTGAATTTTGTAAAACATAGTGAGTTGTTTAACTGCAAATTCCGTGGGAAAAGTTCTTAAGTGCCTTGAATGGTTTTCTCCCATAGTTTTATACCTTATTGGAGGTTTACAAACAGAAGTTGGATGACCACTTGGCAGGGATGAATTCATTGCAGATTTCCTGCAGGGCCTGGAATAGATGACCCTTGGGTTTTCTTTCAATTCTACAATTCTGTCATTTTAGTCCAAAATCAAATGTCCAGATAGCCTTGGCACAAGGCAGTGGGTATGTTCAGAGGGCACAAGAAGCCTTTGTTTGTTTGTTTAGAATTTGGAATGATCCAGAATACTGATGCATACTACCCACTTGTTTGCATTGCAAATAGGAGCAACTGAACAAACCATGGGCCTTCTATCAGTTCTTTCTTTGTTCTGATGTTCAAACCAGGTGTTCTGGCTTGTCCAGAGTCATAAGGCATGCTGTGTTCTTGGTGAATGTATCTGGTATCTTGGTGGAAAAGAGGCAAAACAAAGTGCCAGACTCAGATATCTTAATAAATAAATGGAAAGACCAAAGGTCTATGGTTAGTTCAGCCTTTCCTTCTTCCAGTGTGAACAACTAGGTGTGCACCCTGATTCCATTAAGCTTATTGTCCTTTTTGAAGGTAATCAGTGTTGACTTCTCAATGTTTTCTGGAAACAACCTACATTGTGGATTTTGTTATTATTATTTTATTTTATTTTTACAAAATTAGCTGGGGGAAGAACTGAAGAAAAGTATTGAAAACTGGGAGAAGGAAAATGACTCCTGCTTCCTTGTTTATAACCAGAGGTTTCTTGACTCAATGGCTCATCAACTACAAAATCATAGAATTAAGAAAGATCAACCCAAAATAGTAAGTTTTTGCATGGGTACGTTTCTTAAAAGAATTCAGAAGGTGACTTGATCAAAAGGTGATTGCTATGTTATAGAAGTCTTCCTAGATGGTGAACCTATGGCACACGAGCCCTAAGTTGCTGGATCACTCCCCCGCCCCCGCAGCCAAATCTGAGCAGGCAGCAGCAACTGTGGTGCTGGTGCCCGGACAGGCAGCAGGTCAGGATCCGGAGCAGCTGGTGCTGGCGGCGGATCCGGAGTGGGGTCTCAAGGCACCTCCGTGCCCGGGATTCCCCTTTCTGCCGCCACCACTACTTCCGGTTCCGCCACAGCATACCACCTCCTGTTTGTGTTTTTTTCCCCCCAGTTTTGGCACGCAAGCCCCAAAAGGTTCGCCACCACTATCCTAGAATGTTTAAATTCTGGGAGATGTAATATGTTTCTACTTGTTCAGCAATTTCTCTTAATGAAGAAGATCACCAAAATGTATTGGCAACTATGTCTGCACTTTCAAGGTTTTGTCTCTCACATTCTCTGTGTCATACTCTCCACTTCCCACTATTTGCTGCTATACAAATATGAAGTTAGAGTTAAATACTGGCCAGTGTAAAACTAGGGTTGGTCACCAGTGTTAGTGGGCAGAGCTGGATGGAAGGGGAGCTTGTAGCTCAATTGTCTTATCCATCACTTCTTAGCCAAAGTCAAGGGACAGTAAGTATTCTTTATCACTCCAGCAGCTGTTATGGATTTGTCCATATGAATGGATCGGGCTTAGTTTTGCAAACGTTCATTATAGTGGTAGCATGCAGGCTTTAACATTGCTTCCTGTTAAGATAATCACTGGAGATATTGGCGTTCTGACCTATAAAAATTACCTTTCCAAAATAGAGACAAGTGGGGAACTCTTGTATGACAGGATGTTGCTGTTGTGTGAGAGAAAGAGGCAAGCAGCTCAGTCCTTCACAAAATGGTAGCAGCTTTTCTCAAACAATAGCTGAAAATCCTATTGCATTACGTGTCACAACTAGAATAGGACCATTGAATCAATAAAACTTAGAGGAGTCGACTCACAAAATTTCCATTGATTCAATGGATATACTTTAGTTGTGATTTACTACCCTGAGCAACAAAAAAATTCAGCCAGTAAGATTGCGAGGCAGTGGGACATTATTGCTAAGATGTGCTTAATAATGTTGACTGTTCAGAGCATTCAGAATGTAGGTGCCTTCTACATCAGTGTTATATTTCTATGAGCTTAGGTTGTAGTTTCTGGGACAAAATTCAGGGTCATAATGTACTTTCCTAGGACCCTTAATATAGATGAAGGATACACATTTTTTCTAAATCATCAAGGCAGACTATGAACATCTTTGATACATCGTACATTTGTTAAATATGCCTTGCAGATTTTCACAAATGAAATTCTTAACGGTTGCTGCTTTCCTTTGCAATGTTCTCAAGGCTTTGTCATAGATACTGAACATATTTTGGAAGGGATGAGGTGGGGCTTTTGCTTGATGGGGTAGTGTTGCTCCTGGTTGTTCCTTGTATTCTTCTAACTAGACCTACTTCAGAAAGAGGCTCAGGGTGGTTTGTATTCTTCACTAGGTTAAAATAACATTTTATCTTGCAGTCATCAAAGAGAGATGAATTTGCAACTCCAAAAACAACGGTTAAGAGAGCCGCATGTGTGAACACTGCAACTCCTAGCAAGATACGTAAGGTAAAGAACTGTTGGAGCTATTATCAGATAGTCCAAGAGACTTAAGAGCAAAAACCTGCATTAAAATGTGATTCCAAAATTTGAAGAGAAAGAAAAACTGTGACTTTAAAAAAGTTTTAAAAATCTGTTCTCAGACTATTTAGAACTATAGCTGATGGCTACAAAGTGCTCTCAGTAGTTGAGTGAAATGATGTTTCCCAGCAGACAATAATTCACCTCTTCTTTAAAATTCAGCTGTTTTTAAACAAGATTTAGTACAGTACTTATGTGGAGAATGTTGGAAAGAGTCAGTGTTACTTGATCTAAAATTCCAGAGGTATGATATTTCTGCAGTCTTAACCTAGCTTTCAAAATTAGCACCAATCTTTCCATAACGTGCAGAAACTTAAGTGAGCTTGATACCTGGGTGGATTGAAGGGCATGCTCTCTTTTGGATTTTTATTTATTTAAAAAAAATAGAAAATTTGAGCTTTTGAAACCAGTTCATTTGGTAGCGTTTATACAAATTCAAATTAATTGAAATAATATCAACTGTGGGTCCTGATGGCAATTTTTAGAGTATCTATTTTAATTGTATTTTAATTGTTTTTATAGTATTTTAATTGTTGTAAGCCGCCCAGAGACCTTTGGGTAGAGTGGACGTCATATAAGTCAAATAAATAAATCAATCACAACATATAATAAGAGAATATAGTAGCTAGAATCTCTTGCATTATGTGATCGTAGAAATTAAATCACTCAAATAGTAGTAGCAATTGGAGCTGTGCGATCAATTGCTCAACAGCCAGCCAGAAAACTATTGTGGCTGAAGTCCTGTTGCTTAGTGTGTAGTAAGTCAGAACAAGAGCCCATTGAATCAATTGAACTCAGAGAATTTGACTCACCAAATCCGCATTGACTCAGTGGGCTTGCTTCAGTTATAGCTTACTGTGCTAAGCAACAGGATATCATCCTGTATATGGCAAAACTTAATAGAATTCTGGCCAATATTTAAAAACAATATCCAAACAAATTACAGCATAAACATGCCAGTGGAAAGGAATAAAATAATACCTAGCAAATACACATTGCTCCAAATCTTGTTGCATAGTTATGCAGGCGGAAAGCAAGTGGGATAACTTTCAGTGCCTTCTGTCAATTAACAAGTTGCTGTTGGGATTATTTAATCTCAACAGTGATTTGTTAATTGCCAGCTGGCAGTGACTGGATTTTATGCTTTTTATTTTATTTTTATTTTTTTTTTTGCTTTTTGCTTACATAATTAAGCAATAGGATTTCAGACAGTATATAAAGAGTAGTCCAAAGCATTAAAGTTATCGATTCTTAAATGGCACAGAAGGAGAATAAGTACTCTTCAGCTGGTGCTGTGTGTCCCTCTCTGGGGAAAATGTTTCTCATCTTTCTTGGAGAGGAGGAAGGGGTACCCAAAGCAGGGCCCCCGAAAAACATCTCAAGGGCTGAGTTAGATATACTTGGGATAAGTTAATCTTTCTGTTATTTTGTGTCTTTAGAGGCTTCATAATTTAGAACAGCATTTTGTAATTACTCTGGAAACGGATAATTTGTTATTACAATCAATAAAGCACTGGCATATTATGATTAAATTGCCCGCTTACAGTCTGCAATCTTGCATCCCTACTGTGGGCCAAGAACAGTTTCCTGGGCCATTTTCAAAATAACTACACATATATCATATTGAAATAATCTAAACAGGAGGTTACCAGAGCCATAGCTGGTAACGCCCTTTTCATTTCGTGGAAGTTTACGTTTATGTCACAATTAACAGATCAGTTTACTGACCTGAAGTCTTCATTAGCTTAATCATTCTGATAGAAACTGTATTTTTCAGGTAGCTTCAAACCTAACTGTACTAAAAGCAGCCAGCTGCAGTAATATCCCAAGCAACACAGCTGTTACTAGCAAACAGTCAATTCAAAACAAGGTGAGTGACACTGATCAGAAATTATCGTTTATCATTTAATTGTTAAGGGCTCAGAAAATATGCTTAAAATAAAGGAAGCGTGTACACTCAGTGTTGGGGGATAAAGTCTGAACAATGTGTATACATCCGGCATTTAATTTAAAAATGATCTGTTGACAGTTCAACAAGGCATTGGGGAGAGACATGCCTATTGTAGTGCATGTTTGAGTTCCTATCCAATGCAACAATGTGGCAGGATAGGTGACATGTCTGTCCTGAACTGTTGCAGTGGAAGTACTGAAGAAACACCTACCGTAACCAAAATAGCTGTGGGTTTGTTGGATCTGTGGACATTTTCTAAACTTATTTAAATAAATATACTTATGTCTTGTCTGATTTATATGCTGATGATAACACAAAATGTGTTCTGTTTTCCATTGTCACTAATCCAAAGCTACTTCTAACAGGATTCCTTTTAACATTTAAAAAAGGAAGCATGTGGATGGGAAATAGAACATTTGTGGGTGCTGTATACTCAAGGTATTCTGGAGAGGGTAGTATGGCATTTCATTTTCCTTCAGCAAGGATTGAGTGTGCTAGCTATTGTAGTGCAGCCAGTTAAAGTTTGCTTTGATCAGTGGAATCTTGAGTCTGTAATAATGGAGTGTTGTTGCTCAAGGATGTGGAAGCTAGCTCTTCTGGGAGATCCAGTGGGGAAATAAACTCCCAGTCTCTGACTCTTCAGCCAGATCACTAACCCGCTGAGCTCTCCAGCCAGCCTTAAGTCTATAAACCTGCAGAAATGTTTTTCATTAAAGATATTATTACTGTCCCTAAAAGCAGAGCTTTTGTCTTGTTACAACTACTAGATAGCTCAGCAGTTTAGGCATCTGGTTGAGGAACCAAAGGTTGGGAGTTTGATTTCCCACTGAGCCTCCTTGGCAAAGGCTGGACTCAATGATCCATAGGTCCCTTCCAGCTCTGCAGTTCTACAGTGATGATGATTCTCAGAAAATGAGACATGCAGACAGATGAATGACTTGCCCATTTCTTCAGCAACTTAGCTCATTGTAAACCATAAGAGCAAAGAGTGGGGCATGTACAGCTCTTCAACACTTTTTCTAGACATTAAATGCTGAATGTGTATTACAAACACAGAGTAACTACTTGTTTAAGATTTGCTTTTGCCAGAGCTAATGAATCAAAGCAAAACATAGATAAATTTCTGTTATATTTTTCTGTTTGTTAGGGAAAAGTCATAGTGCAGCATGAATGTTCAAGACTAAGAAGTAAGCAACAACAAATGTGTTTTTTAGTGTTCCATATTACTCCCTGTAATTCATCTTGTGAAATTAGCAACATTATTGAACTGCTGTATAGGTCAGTGGTTTAGGTATGGTTGGGAGTTCAGTTCCCCACTATGCCTTCTTAACTGCGGCTGGACTCAATGATCCATAGAGTCCCTTCCAGCTCTGCAGTTCTAAGATTTTATTATTATTATTATTA